CGATTAGAATTAGAGAAGGTTAAAGGTCATAGCAATAATAGTTGGAACAATAGAGCAGATAAATTAGCTAGATTAGGATCTAAAATAGTAAATAGAGATAGAATTATAGAAAAACCTCCTCAGAAGTCGAACGTCACTTTATATTGGGAAGAGACAGTAGTCGAAGACCCTACAAGAGAATTCCTACAAATGATTCTCAACCTCAAAACAGGAGTAGAATGGAAATCTTCTTCGGCCGTAAGGAAATTAGAACCTAAAGACAGTGTACAAAACCAATACTGGCCTGTTATATGGAAAAGGATCAAAGAGCAGAGTGGTGTACGATGTACAAGTTCAAGGAAGAACAAGCGTCTAGGTGTGTTGGTCAAATGCTTACATGAGAAATTACCAGTACTTAAAACATTATCAGCCAGAAAACCAGAGTTATACGACAGTTCTACATGTATAATATATGAAAAAGGTGAAGAAGAAGACCAGGAATACTTGACGACATGTGAGAAGTATGAAATTAAATGGAAGGATGCAAAGCAACTAGCCTCGAACTTGGCCTGAACAGCCCTATCAGAAGAAACTCGTAGTCAACTTGACAGAACACAGCTCAGGAAGACTTTGTGGGGTTTGTCAGAAAAAGAAAAGAATAAAACTAGGGCTAGTATACTTAAAGGTTTGATTAAAGAAGAGGTCGCGAAAAGAATCTTCGAAATGGTAGGAAGTCTGAAAGAACTTAGAATCTACATAGATACTGCGATCAACTCAGCTTGAAATTACTTCTATGAAAATATTTGGAAGCCAAGATGTGCATATATAAACGAATGGGAAAAGAAGAAAGGAATTGGCCCAAAAGAAAAGAAAGGGAAAAGCCCTAGTCCTGAGAAGCCAAATCCCAGCAATAAAGAGAGAGAATCGATTTCAGAAGGAGAAAACAGCCAAGATCAAAGCAAGGGAAAAGTTAAAAAGAAAGAAAATGATGAATGTAAAGAGGAGGAAGTAAAAGAAAGTACTTGGTTTGAAGCAATTAAAAATTTTATTAAAAATAAAACGAAGCCATTCTGGTATGGCTTCATAGGCTAGCTTGGTGCAGCCCTCCGGTGTGGACATATGTCTTATCCGGTGAGGCAGACCATCCCTGGGCACTCAATAAAGTAGCCAGGGAATGTCGGATCTGTAGCTTAGATAGTTGAATATATGTTTATGTATATGATTTGATCTAATAAAGATACCGGCAAGGCTGCCAATAGTTAAAAAAAAAATATATAAATAAGCAAAGAATAAGATATAGAATATATATTAATATTCTTTTGTCTTAAGAGAAAAGGTAGAATTTAAATATTTTTTAATAATATTTATGTTTCTATATATTAACACTATAAAAAAAATAATGTTATAAAATAATACTATAAAATATAATAATATTATAAATAATGCTGTAAAAAAAGCAATAATAAGGAGTGTAGTGACGTCAAGTTGTCGCCTTCCCAAGTAGCATATACAGAGTTTAATTTTTATTAACAACAAAAAATTAAATTCTTCCGTGTAATAATAACTATTTGAATGTTGGGATGTAGATCCTGTAACAATAGTCAGACTAAATAGATACAAGGGGTAATAATCACCTAACAGACAGCTTATCTTGTAAGCCTTATTAGGCCGATAGTATAAACTTGAAAGATTATAGAGTATTTGTATAATAGAGAAGTTATAAAGAGATACAAATCGATAAAAAGCAGTATAAACCCACAATAAGTCTCTGTGATTGTATAAATCTAATGGACTAGTTCTAAATAGAAACTCGCTTGACAAGTCCTGAGTAGAGAAGTAATACATACTTTTGACAGTTCTGAGAAAGTTTAAAAAGGAAACCAAAAAGCTGCAGATCTGAATGAAGACTAGATGTTTAATAAACACTATACCAATCAGGGCATCAGAATTGATTATAGGAAAAGGATATAGGCTGGTATCTGGGTTAAGCTAGTAGAAAAGTAGATAATGTAATCTATGAACCAAACTGAACTATTTAAATTAGAAGTTTGGTAAAACAGTAGAAGAGTTTCTGATTGGATGAATACCAAAGCTGAGATATAAGTAAACTCTATAAGGGCAGAAGTAAGTAATAGTAATAGCTTTGCTATACAAGTATTTGTTCTCAGACTAGGTATAAGTTATTAAAGCCTAAATCAGCTTAAATGTGAATAATGAAGGTTCTAGCAGGTTTACCTTGAGGTCAAAAGACTCCTTAAAATGATAAAGACTGCTTTAAAGCCCTAAGCCAGTATGTAAAAATAAAGTAGTACTAAGTATTATTGCTTGAATATAAAAGAGTTGATACATAGGCACAGAAAGTTTAAATAGATATTTTCCTTAGTGAGGTGCAGATACAGCATCTAGTGTAGAACCTAGTAATAGATAGATACTTAAATAGATGCTTAAAAAGTGCAGATATAATTAGTAATACTCTACAAATATGTATAGCCATTAGAATATATCTGATAGTTAAAAATACTAATGATATTTGAATAAAGAGTAGTGTAGCAAAGAGGTTATTTTAACATTAAAAAAAAAATAATAATACTAAAAACCAGAAACTAGTTTAAATCCAGAGTTTATTATTTTTTTTTTTGTAGTCAAGTTTAGCTTTTTTGGCTTTCCGTTTTTATTAGATTTATAGAATTATGTGGTGCTCTTTTCAAAGAGGCCCTAGACAAGTACATTCTGACGAGAATACATTCTAATTATACCTGCGTCTTTTGAGCAGCTAATTAAGTATCTACCTATTACTAGATTCTATACTAGATACCATATCTATAACTCACTATTATTTGAGTTATCCAATTAAACTCTCTGATCCGAGTTTCACTGCCAATCTGTCTAATCTCACCCAAAATATATAATACATAAGTCAGTTTAAGTTCCAAGATTATCGTGTGTCCACCTATAGGACTACTGATATGGTTAACTAATTCATTCTTGAGTGCATTATCTGCTAAAGCAGTCTGGTACCCACTATTACTATATTACCTAATCTACTTTGGTAACTTATACCTAGGCCAAGACCAAGTACTTGCGAGCTGAAGCCGCTACTGTTACCTACTATACCCTTATAAAGTACCCAGATTCCAGCATCCACTATACAAACTATCTGTCATATACCATCATTCCAAACTTTCAATCCAGATGGCCTGGAAGGGCTGTGACCTGCTCTTGGTCCCTACGGTTGGGTCCTTTTCCTCTGATTACTCTCCAGTGACCTGGTTGATGGAGTGTCTTGCCAAACACTTCAATCTTGTTCGGTTCTCTGGTTTCCTGATTGATAATCTTTTATGTAATACCAGCAAAGATCTGTGCTACCTCTCTACTTGGGTCTTGCCAAGCAGACTTCTGTGTATGCTGACCTTAGATTTATACAACTACTTCATTCAGGTTTCGTATAACTTGTAGTATACTATTGTTCTACAATCTCCTAATATGAGTTGATATGACCTAGTTACAAATGTCGATCTGTCTTTACACTCACAGTTGCTATAATACTGTACTGAAAATTCGAATTTTTTCATTGCTGCTGAGATTTGAACTTTGTTTTTGCTACTTGGAGGTACGACAACTTCATTACTTCACTAAATCGCCACATCCTCCAAAGCTTATTATTGTTATCTTATACAAACATATAAATATATATAAATTTGTTTATATAATATATAAATATAGATATGTGACATTACAGACAGAAAATGTTGAAACTACTTTTTTGATCTTTTTATTATAGATGAATTAAAATCATAATTTCAGTTATCAAAGTGTATAGAAGTATAAGTCTTCCGCTTTGCTCCAAACAATTACAAATTATTGTAATAATAATATAAATCATTGTAATAATACTATATGTTATTATCTAAGTTATACATGCCACTGAAATAGGGTTTCAAAAAACCCCTATTTCATCTTTATTAGAACAATTTGGAATTTTTTATATGCAATAGCAAATCTAATTTAGATAGCTATGTTCCTTATAATTTCATCTTTTCAAAAAAAGTGTCAAAAAATTTTGTCTTTTAAGTAAAATAGGTCAAAAACAATTTCGTCTTCAAATTTTAATTTCATACTCCGAAACTTAAAATAATTTTGTTGGCATGTATAATCTAAGTCACTATAAACTAATAATAATATTAAAATAATTATAATAAAGCTATTCTACAATGATAATACTATGTATCACTATAATAATGCTATAAACTATAATAATAATATTATAAATTATATAATAATAATATAATATTTAAAATTAGTAATGCAACTAAATAATTAATAATATATTGATCTAAAATATCTTGAATATCATCTATGCTTATATAATTTTAATTTAGATTTTGTTATATTAAACAGATTAATAATTAAATATTTAAGTAAATAGAATTCTGTAAAAATATACTAATAAAATATATTATTACAAGTGAACTATAGTTTTTTTAATACAATATAAGTAATAAAACATATAGCTATAAAGATCTGTTGTAATCATGTAGTAGTATGAAAGTGGAATATAACTTTATTAAGAACAGTTCAGAAAAAGTATATAGTTAAAAAAAGATATATCTTATTTACAGTATATAAAGCTTTAATTACAAGAGAGAAATCTATAATTAAAGAGATATCTGTATCTATTTAAGTCTATTTAAATCTATTTTGAACTATCTGACAGGAATAAGAAAGTTAGAGTTTATATATTTTTTTCTTAACTAGTAGAAATAATAAGAAATAGTAGAAATAGTAGAAAAGATAGAAAAGATAAAAAATGTAAAAAGATAAAAAAAATAGAAAAAATAAAAAAAGTAGAAAAAATAGAAAAAAGAAAAAATGTAAAAAGGTAGAAAAATAGAAAAAGTAGAAAAAGTAGAAAGATAAAAAAGATAAAAATGATAAAAAAGATAGAAGGATAAAAAGGTAAAAAAATAAAAAAAAATGAAAAAGTAGAAAGGTAGAAAAAGTAAAAAGGTAGAAAAGTAAAAATGATAAAAAAGATAATAAAGGTAAAAAAAAATAGAAAAGATAAAAAAAGGTAAAAAAGATAAAAAGGTAAAAAAGATAAAAAAAGGTAAAAAGGTAAAAAAGGTAAAAAGGTAAAAAAGGTAAAAAGGTAAAAAAGGTAAAAAAGGCTAAAAAGATAAAAAAGGTAAAAAAGTAAAAAAGGTAAAAAAGATAGAAAAGGTAAAGGATGTTCTATAGAATAGGTGGGCAAACTCTGTAAACTCTGCAACTCCGCTATTAAAAAATTAATGATTACTAATCATTAGCGAAGCTTATTTCTTATATTGCCTACCTATTCTATAGAATATCCAAGGTAAAAAAAGATAAAAAAAAGATAAAAAAAGTAAAAAGATAAAAAAGATAAAAAAGGTAAAAAGGTAAAAAGTGTAAAAAAGGTAGAAAAGATAAAAGATAGAAAAGGTAAAAAAAATAAAAAATGTAAAAAAGATAAAAAAGATAAAAAAGGTAGAAAAGGTAGAAAAGGTAAAAAAGATAAAAGATAGAAAAGGTAAAAAAGATAGAAAATGTAAAAAAGATAAAAAAGGTAGAAAAGGTAGAAAAGGTAGAAAAGGTAAAAAAGATAAAAAAGATAGAAAAGGTAAAAAAGGTAAAAAAGGTAGAAAAGGTAGAAAAGGTAAAAAGATAAAAAAGGTAAAAAAGGTAGAAAAGGTAAAAAAAGTAAAAAAGGTAAAAAAGGTAGAAAAGATAAAAAAGGTAGAAAAGGTAGAAAAGGTAAAAAAGATAGAAAAGGTAAAAAAGGTAGAAAAGGTAACTGTTTCTTTGCTACTCTGTTAATCTATTATTTTATATCTATTAATTTGTTAATCTTGTTAATCCTGTTAATCTATTAATTTGCTAATTTGTTAATCTATTAATTAATTTGTTAATCCTTTCCTACTTAATATAATAATATAAATAATATAATAATAATATAAAATAATAAAATAACAATATAAAATAATAGAATAACAATATAAAATAATAGAATAATAATATAAAATAATAATCTAATAACAATATAAAATAATAGAATAATTATATAAAATAATAATCTAATAATAATATAACAATAATAATAATAAAATTAATAACAAAACTAATGCTAAAGTATTATATATCACATTTTTATATTACATGAAATAAGCCCGATCAGCTCATATGAAAACAAAACATTTGCTTTGCAAAATCATGTTTATCTCAAACTTACTAGTAAACCGTCTTTGAAGTTATAAAAAATTTCTTGTGCAGCTTTATTAGAAGATGCCCCTTTCTAGCCATAATATAACCTCGAACCCTAACATAAATGAGCCTTTTTCGTTCGAAGACAATTGACCTCTGAAAATCACATGACCGAAAAATCCCTGCCAATTTCGTTCGCATTAGTGTTAGAAACAAGATTAGAAGTGGTAGTTATTGAGAAATTTTTATTTAAAAATAAATTACAGCTTATTTTAAAAATGTATATAACATTTTTTAAACTTCAAATAGATAAAAACTCGATGAGAAATTTATTTTAATTCTGTAGTCCGTAGAATTTAAATAAACAAAGCTTATCATATTTGATGAGATAGTTATCGAGAAATAGTTAAAAATAATGCTACAACTATAAATGATAACGCTACATTGCTAAAACAAGGAATGATAGTATTTGACAACGCTACAATGATCGCTGCATTAATGCAGCTACAAAAATAACACTACATTCTATGTTAAAAAAAAAGTCAGAAAAAATAAATTACAGCTTTTACGTTTAAACGAAGACCTAATTAAATTCAATTGAATTTTTTTATTTGAATTCTATAAACTTGTTATTATAGAATTAAGACATAAGGTTTTTATCAAATTTGATCTTAAATTATCCTTGCAAATTGTATATAGTAAGAATTTGAGTTACAATAATTATGCAGATGATGTTAATAGCACTAATTTAAGCTATATGCGTAGTGTGATCAGTGGAACTATTCCTTAAACGGTGTTATGAAAAATTGTGTGTGATGTATGACTGAGTGAAGTAGTGTATACTACAAAAATTGTATTTTAGTATATATACTCATAATATATATATGTAAAAATAGTATAGTTGCAAATAATTTAATTATGTGACACGAAAATTCTGCAAAAGGTTATCTACAGTTATAATGAAAAAGACTTTTACTAAAGCGCACCTATGGTGTTTTATACCTATGAATATATTATCTCAAAAACTAGCTAATTAATCGGTACGAGGTGTTCTATTCTACGCCCCCAAAACCCTCCCAAACCTTAGCTCTAACCCTAAATACTAACCCTAACGTGAAAATTTGCGTTAAAAATTTTATGAACAAACATAATAAAAACATATGATAGGTGCCAAACTACCATAGGTGCGTTTTATAATAAATGTAATGAAAATATAACAAATACTTCTGTACTTATCGCGTATGGATCAGTAAAATAAAAAAAAGATTTTAAAATCAAGATTTTTACATGAATGTACATGATTGTGTGTACTGCCGTAATTGTACTGTCGTACTATTCTGATACTGTATTGTACAGCAAAAATCAAGATTTTACAGAAGTACGTATGTTCCTTGAATATTTTTTATATTACATAACATAGGCTTATATTTAACGTTAACAAATTAATTTGCTTTATTCAATTAATCTGAGGTTTTTCTATATATAATTATGTGTGTTTTTTTTCAAGAAAAGTTTTTGGACAGCTAAATCAAACATTCTAATTTGTTTGTCCTGAATATTTTGACGTGGCAGTTATAGTTAAGCAAAACCTAGAGGTTTAAGTCGAAACCTTAATTTCGATTTTTGGAAACTGGCAAAATTTGTCGAAACTAGAAATTGACAAAATCAATAAAACTGAAGGTTGTAAAAACTAGTAAATCCTAAAATGTATTAAACCTTTTATTTGAAGAATTATGTTTATAGAAAAAATTTTTCTCTTTATTAGTAATAAAGCTTTTATTAAAAGGATCATTTTTTTCGAAAAATTTTTCTTTTTGAAAAGCTACTAACCAATGGTGTAGATTCCTCATCAGAACTAATATCATTCGAAAGTATTATCATTTTATTGATATTTTTAAACCCTTTTTTTTTACTGTTACGATTATTGCTTTCGTTATTTAAAGACAATATTAGACTTAAGGATTTTAATTTATGACATCACAGACTCGACCTATTAAAATTATTCAGAATTGGTCCCCCGTTTAAAAGCCCGAAGTCTTGTTTTCTTTAACGTCACATTTATATACATACGTACGTAGATGTTTGTATACTCTATACAATATATTACTTAATACGCAGTTGTGACCTCACCAACTATACACACATGTTTGCTAATTTAACGTATTAATACACCACTACTTACACAAAATTGGTTTGGTAATACTCAAAATCGATCATGAGATGATCATAAGGTATGCAGTAGATGTTGTGTAATGTTGTACATGATTTAAAGGTGCTGCGGACTTTCTGTTCTTTAAATTATTTGTGTTTAACATCCATTAAAAAAAATTTTTTTACAGTTACGACAACTGATTACTACCGTACAGCGTGGTCTAAAAGACCTCTTTTATAATACCCTTACAATTTTCGGAGGCCTATAATGTAAAGTACCCTGGACAGATTAATTGCACTTGGGAATGCACTTAATATATAAAATATTACTGAAGCACTTATATAGTGCAACTTATACCCCCACGCTGACCATAGTATCCCTCCGACTATAATACCTATATATACAGCTTAAATTGTAAAGTATCCTGGGTATTTTAGACCACGCTGTACGGTAATATATGATAACGATAAATAAATTTTAATAATAATAAATTTAATAGATAGAATTTATCATCTTATAATGGATGTTAGAAAAAACATTAGTTAATTACTTAGTCTTGTAAATTATAAGACACCAACCGTCACCGAAATATAACTGTGCGCAGTAAAGAATTGTTATAATTGTCTATCAAATTCTTCTAAGAATTGTTATAGAAAAAATTATATTTTCTTTAAACGTGAAAAGTATCGTTATTAAGGTATTTAAGCTTACGTATCATTTATTATTAAAGTATCGTTATTCAAGGTATCTATCAAGATATTGTTTAAAGTATTGTTATTGCGACACTACAATAGTTACATGTTAAAGCAAATTAATAATTGCTACCTCAAGTATCTCAAGTATCACAAGTTCCCCCAAGTTCCCCCAAGTACCACCACAAATAGTTGCATTATACCTTATTTAGTAATTTGATGATTACACAATTCGGAGTTTGAAATCCGAAAAAAGCTATAAATATGGGATCTGAACTAAACTTGGTCACCGAAACCTTTTTGGCCAAATCTGAAAGTTTCGGGTTTCGGATTATAGTTTCCGAAACCTCATCCGAAACCCTGAAACCTTATCTGAAACCCGAAATCCTACCCGAAATCCCGAAACTCCATTTGTATAATAAGATTTAATAAAATCAATAAAAAAAAGTATGTAAATCAGAATGAATTATCAAGACAATGCAATTGCACCAGAAAATCTTGTAGGTTTAGTTTGTAA